AAACGGAAAATAGTAACGGTACCGTTGTTGAAATTTATAGTCGAGATAACCAATTGGGGGGAAAAAAAAAAGGAAAATAGTTCACTAAGGCGATTAAGAATTTCGGCGACGCGGCGAGTCGTAAACGTACATCGGGGAGATTCCAAAAACACGTAGTTATTTTTTTAACTTTAGCGTCTCCCAACGCGAGCCGAAAAATTCCGATTCGTACAATGGCCCTGCTTACCTCGCCGGCATATTGGCAATCGCCGCGGACGCAATTTCTACCGGTGGATTATAACGTGGACGAACGGGAGAGGGAAGGGTCGAGGCGGAGATGAAAAGCTCGCACTTTCCGAGGAGGAAGCCCGAAAAAAGAGGGAAAAAAAAGTGCTCCGACGCCGGAGGCTACAGCGGGGGGGAAAAAAAAAGAAGAAATTCCCGCGAGCGAAAGGGGTTGCCGAGAGTTTCTGTATTTCGTTCCCTACTCGAAACTTACGAAATGAATATCTAATGATATTGGCTCGCTGCTGTAAACTCCCTCGTCTCGCCGTGTGTGTCCATGTGCGAGTGCACAAAAAAAAGGAGCAGTTGAAAAAAAAAAAAAAAAAAAAACAGAAAATATTCCTTGGCTGACGTTACGGTGAATCGAGAATCGGCACAATTCCGGTGCCAACGGCAATGGCAAACCGTCGATTCCCAACGAGTGTCCCCCGAACAATCGAAGCGACGGACGCAAAGTGCCCAATTGTCCCTGGAAAACGTCTTCCGGGCAATAAAACGGCTGAACCACATATTGATGCTGCCAATAAACGCGCGAGTACATATGGGCTGTTATTCCGTCGTTCGACATAATGGTCCTGAGGAATCTTGGAAGGAACCGTAAGCATATACAACGAGGGGGTACGAAATCTAGGTCGGCCGCGTCTGTCTTACACTCCCGCGAGCTTTTGGCGCCTCCACCGTGCATGGGCACAGTATAACGAAGCAACCTCCTTCTTTTATACACTCAAGGTCTCCCGTGATTCGTGCAAGAGGCGTTATCGCTCAACAAGATGCTAATGTGCTCGGATCTTTTTTAATATTATTATTGTTTATCACCGATGCTGATAACGAGGATCCAGAATCGATATACTTTCTCGCGTCAAAGATACACTTATTATTTCTCTCGGACGCGTCTCGTTTGAAAATCATTTAAAATGAAACAAACTGATCGCAAGCAGAGTCTATTAGAGACACACGAGCTCTGATGTACTGCACACGTGTATTATATGTATATGTATATATAAAGTGCAAAAACGAGGCGCACTTATCGACACGTAATAAATACCAGCCGCTGGCTCATTTATGGCCCTTGGCGCCCCGGCGGCGATCTTATCGCCCGCACCACTGGATCATCTCTCCTCACGTACACATTGTACACCCGCGCGATCGATTGCATATTTGTCAAATCGAACGTACATGTAGTATCATGTATACTGTTTCACGAGCCGAACATTATCATTGTTCCTCTTCATAATCCACCATATTCGCGCATATAATTACACGTATAAACGTATACTTGTTTGTCGAAGCGAGAGCACACCAACTCGCAATCGAGAGAAAGAGAGACCCCTTATCTGTGCGAATTGTCTCGTATCGGAGTACAATACAAACACTCGGTGCAGCGGTGAGGTGAGCGACGATAAGCCGCCGATCGCTCGCGCGCCAATATGGCCGACACTGTGCAGGTAACCTCCATCTTCCTACATTTATATGTATATGTGCATACACGGTGCACGTAACATTTGTACACCGGGGTAATGGTACATTAACCGCGTTCGTTTCGCCGTGTGAATATACCTGTATATAACGTGCTCTCCTCGAAATGTCTGGAGCCGCCGCAGCGGCATGGCAGTTACAGACTCGGGAGTCAATATTATTTTTTCCTCCGCTCGCACGCAATCATCATCATCATCCCGATCGTCATCGTTGTGTGTGTATAATGTGCACGGCTCTCGATAACATTTATAACGCGTAATGCGCTCCAACTGTGTGTACTTGCATATACGCTCCCTCTCACCTACATGTACGTGATATGCGCAAACAGATGAGATATATTGCCGGGCAGCTGTTGAAGACCGCAAGAAAAACTTATATACGTCGATGGAAAAAGAAGACCCTCCGAGGCCCCCCGTGTTTGTGTAATCCGATCGAGGATCCCGAATTCTTTTGCCTAACACTTGCTATGTACATGTATAAAGATCATCATCATCATCATCATCTTCCTCCATGCGCGGTGTGCTGATGCGGTCGCGGTACATTAGCCGGCGTGTTTTCACACACGTGCCGCCTTCCATACAGGCATATAGGTATGTATATATGTTGTACAATCCACTGTTTGGCTTGGCATCAGTTGGACCGGCCGCGTCTCTCTTTCATCCGTATGGATATATATATGTGCCCCTCTCCTCTATCTTGTCCCTCCACGCGTGTCTCCGCTCTCTTTTGCTATCCGGCCAATTTACAGGTCGATCCTTCCTTTCCCTCTCCGAAGTCGCACTACAACATGTCCCGAGGAGAATATACCTTCTTGCACACATATTCTCTCTGCTCCTTTGGATGTATAACTTTGAAGCGATGATTGTATAGGTGCGCGGGTGCAGTGCCTTTGTCTCCTCGTTTCGTTTCATATTTTTTTTTTATTTATTTTTTTAAATTTATTTATAGACAAGTACGTGCTATTCGCCATTTTTACCGAGAGGATGTAAGGTACAGGTACAATTGTTGTCAAAACTCTCTCCGCGGCCGTTCTCACGAGCGTCATCCTCGCCGTGGCGCGTTGATTGTTGCAGTCAATTAAAATGCGATCGGCCGAGAGCGGCGACATAAACTTAGCTCGCGAGCCGCGCGCGTTCTCCCCCTCCTCCCCTTTCCTCTTGTGTTAACCAACCCGAGCAGGGTCGCGAAATGCCGGGTATGGAAGGAGGATACTTTTTCATCCTCCTTTTCTGGGATGCTTTGATGCTCGGCCGAACAATGCCGGGCTAACGACTTTGAGGAGCAGCAGCCTCCCCTCCCCTCCTGTATAGCCGTTCGCTTTCCAATAGAGACATTATTATAGCGTAGCTTCTGCTTATCCAAGGGGTTACGGGGGGTGATTATCGGCCCAAACGATTCCTCTCGATCGAGCACGCCGATTGCGCCTTTTTCTCCCACCCCACCCCCCATCCTCGACTCTAAGTGTTTTCGGCTTTGTTCTTCTTGAGATCTCCCCCCCGTCACCTTCGGAGAGGCAGCTAATCGCTGATGCGAATGCTCTTTGTTTATATATATACATAAACTGCTAATCGATCCTCGATATCGACGACACGCTCTTTATTACAACGCGCGCATTGTACGCCTCCCCACCACCCCCCCCCCCTGTATTTCGTCGCTTCTTCTTTATATTTCCACTTGATCTCTTTTCGGGGAGTCTGCCAAGAAAATAAAAAGAAAGAAAACAACGATCGGCGATCGAGCCGGGGACGCGTCCTCTCCTCCCTCGTCGTTTGGGGGCACGCTCGGGCGACGGGCTATTTTCGTACAACGCACGAAGCGCATATTTGTGGTACACGGGGTTATTTACCCTCCAGCCGATAGATACGTCCATATGTACGTAGGAAGGCAAAGTTGCTGATAATTATATAGGTATACAGGTGATTGCGGCAAAAGAAGGTGGGGTAAGTCCCGTATCATAACGCGAGGACGCGGGTAGCGAGTTCCGCGGTTTTAACGGCCCGTGCGGTCCCCGCGAGTTTTGGCTAAATATAAAGTCCGCGGGAGAGGCACCGAAAGATTAATCACTATGCGTGTACCTACTCTTTCTCTCTGCTCTGTACGGCTCTCTGTTCGGTGATGATGCCGATGCCGAACTCCTTTCTTTTCTCGCAGCGCGACACGCGCGGAGGGGATATATATATTTAGAGATCAATGATTCGCGGGAGACGTTCTCGGAAGACTCGGGGTTCTTTTATACACGGGCGTGGGGTAGGGGGTCATTGAGCAGCGTTGTACCGTAATCCGCGACGCTCTCGTTCACGCGTGTTCTCGAGATTTACACGTGTCAAGGGGAGGGGCCCCCGGGCGGATTAAGACGCACGACCAGTGCTCTCGGGGCACTATATACTTAATCGATTGCCATAATTGTTGGTACCAATTACAAGTAACTCGCATTTGTGTTCAATTTGCTCAATTGACTTGCATTGGCAACTTTATTTATTATTTTTTTTTTTTTTTTTTTTTTTTTTCCTTTCTACGTGTATATTGTGTTACGTATAGTCGAGATGGACTTACCTCTCTGTCCTTGGCCTGCAGCTCCTGCTCGTAGTTGGTATTGGGCGTCCGCCTCGGGTTGTTGGTGTCCTGGGTCTGTTCGGCGCTTTGCGCGGTGTTCTGGGACACCTCAGTCTTAGAGTTTCCATTGTTAGCTCGTTGCTCCTTGAGCTCGGCCAATTCCTTCTCCGCGAAAGTCGCCCTCTGCAAGCACAAATCGCGCACACATGTAATACACACATACCTTTATATGTATACATACGCCCTGTCGTCGCTGTGTTAATTGCCGAATCGATGGCTATATTGCCTGGGTGCAAAAATAATTTTTATCGCCCCTGTGCGGCACTCGAGTTTCGAGGCCCATTTGAGATCAAACGGACTCTCTCGGTTTTATATGGGCCGCGAATCGAGACTCTGAAAATAACCGGGGGCGGGGGGTTATCGTCCATCAAAAAATCACGTCAGAAACGTGATTGTAAATATTTATGGGATGCCTATACGTACACGAGGAGATATTGTTCAATGAGAGTATATCTCGGAGGGACCAAAGGGGGGAGGCTAAGTGATGTGACGAGCCGTAGTCAAGAGGCCGACAAATAGTCGCACAAAGCCGAGGTTTCCACAATCTACCCTCCGTGTGCACATCGATATGGACGTATTTTTTTTTTTTTTTTTTTTTCCCTACTTGCAGGGGAATTTCCTTTGCACGTGGAGGGAGGCGCTCGGGAAAATCAAACAATGGAATAAATATACATCACGCAGAGATGAGCGGGGAAAAAGAATCGCGCGATGAATAAAACAATGGGCGGAGGTGGGTAGGGGGGAGGGGAGAGTGTCGTGCAAACTACATCGGCAAAGTGGAGGAAAAGCCTCGACTACTGCTCTTCGCCAATAGAAAGTATCAATTTTATCTCGGAAAGAGGAGAGACACGGCCAAAGGGTGGGACATGAAAGGGAATTCAAAAATCCACGTGCCCGTAATTATATGCGTCCTTCTTTTTTTCGTTTCTTCCTCCCAGGACCGGCCGTTCTCTCTTCTTTTTTCGTCCCTTCCGCGCTTTGTCTACGTTCCAGAACCGAAGCTCCGGTCAGAGATACGGAGAGGGTAGGGGCTACAGGAGGAGGAGGAGAAAGAAAGAAAGAAAGAAAGAAAGGTAGTAATAGCGACGGGGCCCCCGTGCAGCGCGCCACCAAAGGCGGGGATTACCTTTTTAAACTTTCCCCATAAAGTATCTAATAAATATTGCCCGCGGGCCCGCTGTTCTGCTTGGCCGGATATTAATTATAGATGCTTTTATATTCAAAGTGGGCCCCCCCCTCCGCCCCGTATCGCTTGCTACGTACTTTTTATCCGCTTTTTTCCTTCCTTCTCTTTGTCTCTCTCTCTCTCTGGCGTTTGCCGGAGCGATAGGAAGGAAGAGGATCATCCCTCTGTACGCGTATATATACGCATCCTCCCCCTGTATGGACACGTACAGCTTGGACGCGCGACCGGGGGACACAATACACGCCCATAAAGTGACCAGCAGGCAGTAGTGCATCGATCCTCGGCCACGCGAGAGATCAAGTGCTTCCGCGGCCGGGCTGTGTGTATATATATACATGTACACACATCACATAACGTGTGCTTGGTATACGTGGGTTTCCACTTGACGCCCCTTCCCTTCCTTCCTCTCGTATACACGTATACTACGGCTAGACGCCTCGATGCGCCCGTCCACATTCATAAATGCTAATTCCTTTTGCACCTGCCAACCTGCATTTATCTACTCTAATTCGCACCGACGCGAAAATCACGCGCATAATACGCTCGATCTCCGATTTCATTTTCTCGATCGATTGCTCCGTGCTACTTTCTTTCATGATACGTACATCCCTTTTTTTTTTTTTTTACTCTTATACCGATAAAACCCAACTCTTTGACAAAATTTGTTTCGTGTTTTTTCCCTTCTAGCACGAAAAAACGAGTGAGTCAACCAGCAAGCGGGTGGGATTACCATGTTATTTTTTTTTTTTCTACTTTAATAGAGAGACGGAGCGAGGCCAGGGGAGGGGTCGAGAAATCGATTCCCCTCGACTAATCACGAAATTGATTTACACCGGCACTTATCAGCGTTTGAAAATCTCGTCGGGGTATATATATATACATACATACGCAGGGAGGCCCCGTACAAAAAAAAGGGGGCTGTCAAACCGTGAGTGAGGGGGGGGGGGGAGGGAGGAAACTGATAAAGGCGGTGAATAATTTAGGGATAAATTAATACGGCGTAATTCAAAAGCGACAGGGTCTCGCGTGCCTCGCGTGCGTACATATACACGTACCCCCTCCCGAGTACGTAGAGTTTGATTCGATCGAGAGGGTACAGCCGCTTGCGTACACGTATATTTTTGTTATTATTCCTCGTATCGATCGGGGACAAACAGTTGGCCGCCGAGTATAGTACACGCACTGTGTGGAGTTGAAAAAAAAAAAAATTGGAAAAATCGGACGAATCGAAAAGGAAAAACAATCCAGCGCGTGCGACTTTACGTGTACATGTACATGCAGCAGTGCCAATGCGGCTGCGGCGGTAATGACCCATTGTTTCCCGCAAAAAGAGCCTTGACGATGTTATCGATAATTACGAAATGATACGGGAAGCGTAAATACATATCCGACCGATCGGCGTAATACACGGTCTCTCCCGCCGATTCGTGCGTCTGTCTTCTCAAGGCGCACCGCGTTAGGTTCGTGTATCGATGGCTCGCGGGGCACGCGACATCCGGCGAGTACACATTTGTCACGTGGCCCCTACACTATATCTCCCGATCATCACTTGCCTCGCTGTTATGTTTTGATTTATCTACGTCGTCGTATAGTTGTTGTTGTTTTATTTTTTTTTTTTTTCATTCTGCCGATTTTTCCTTTTTTGCAAAAGACGTCCGCCGGAAGTCGATCGCGCGCGAGCGTAAATTACGTTTGCGCACTGTTATTTTCGCGATTCACGGATAGGCGAGTTGATCCCGCTCGATAGTGCCAATTAGATTCCGCGTGGTGGGGCAGGTCCGATGACGAATGAAATTTTGCAGTTTCGACTCCCGGTATTTTTAGCAACTCGCGTAAAATGTCGATTGACGTTATTTTGCAGAAAATGAAAAATTTTCTCAGTTTTCGAAAAATCAAGCGAGTCATTGACGGCCTGACTGATGGTGCGAAATTACCCCCGCATGGGTTCGAGAGCGCGCGCGCGCTCGTTCATGCCAAGATTAATAAAATCGCGGGGGAGGGACGATATTTTACTGCCGAATTCGTAATTACTTTAATTGGCTCCAGATGCTAATTAACGAGGCAAACATGTGCCGCGCGCCACGCCGTGTACAGATCAACAGCCGATAGCGGAGAGAGTCGTCGTGGGGTGTACGTACGTTACTCACGCATGTGTTTGCCATTACAAACTCTCCCGGAGTCGACACGACGATGTTATCGATATGCGCGCACTGCACGAGGAATAAAACGCCCGCGCCATCGTAAAAGTTGTACGTATATACGCCTTGTGTGTATAGGGTAACACCGGGTATGCATATACCTATAATGGGCTAGAATCGCTCGGACGATTAATCATGTAACTTGGCTAGGCGCTTCTGGGACGCGGGCTCGTCGCGGGTGTATTTATATACGTACACGTATTGTATGTGTTTCGGGGAAAAATTCCGAGGAAAAAGCCCGTCTAGGAGATATTCGCGCGTGTATACCATTTGTCGGGCTATTGTCTCCGAAGGGGCAAGTGGCAAAACGTAACGTATGGTTGTTATACCTACTCGTCGTTGGCGATCGGACGATTCCGTGACGAGGCCTCATTACCGCCTCTCTCTCCTTCTGTCTTCGGCTTTCGTGGTAACGACCAGAGCGAAGGTCGCCTCGTGAATGGACGCGGGACACCTATGTCATTAGCTGTACGGCACAGCATCATCAGCCGATTCGTCATCTTCTCTTCGCTCCCGCTTATATATATATAATACGTACACGAGACAAATGCATTATCCCCCCTCCCTTCCCTGAGCGATCGCGTTCTCCCTCCTCTCGTTTTTCCTCTTAAAATCAATTTGAAGCGTGTGTATTATTGCTCATCTCTTTTTCCTCCGTGTCTACCAAGCTAATGAGCCGAGCTCGTGGTATTTTTACCTCTCCCGTCGCGGGATCTATATCATCTTTGAAAAACAAGTGCTCACCGAATATTGGGAGAGCACGAGAAGAGAGAGAGAGAGCAAACAACAGTTGAATAAACAATCTGTGCTCACGCGGTATTTTGTATGCGCGTGCGTGTGTGCCTAGTTGGCGCACGCGGGTGTCAATGTGCCAAGCATAGCTGCTGCGATAAAGCGTATGAAATACGAAAACTTGAGCCTGTATAAGTGCGAGTCTCGAAAACTGCTGGGCAAACATCAAACAAAATTCACGGCGTGTTTGCGCGAGGCAATCGGAGCTCTGAGATTTTTTTTTTTTTTTTTTTTTTTTTCGGGGGAAGTAATCGAGAAGAGTATAGGTACTCAACAACGTTGTCCCACCCGATATAGGAATAACATAAAATGCCCCCGATTAGCTGGAAAATCCCTAACCTTGGCTCGTGATCTTTCGTACTGCCTTTACACCACACTTATATACCTTCTTTACACGGGCATTAGCGCCGTGTGTAATCGATTGATCGACCAACAGCTGGGAAATAAAATCCGATCGACCCGTATAAGGTTAATGGCACACGTGAGTATCGGTATGTATATGTATCACTCCCGGGGGAGGGGACCAAGAGAATAACCTTTGAATGTTTAATCGGTAAAATTTACAACGAACGGCGCGTGGGGGGGGGGGGGTATTTCAACGGTACCCCGACAACGGCGTCGGGCGAGTCATTACGAAAAATAGCGCGCGCATTTCCGAGTACAAAAGAAGCTCTCTCGCGCCCCAAATCGACAATAAGTCATTCGGAGCATCATACCCGTACACGCGCGCATATATATACATACGTACACACCATGCACCCTCGCGCCAAGATATGCAAAAGTATCGTTGGCGGCTCGCCACGCAAATGCGACGTTACTGGCGGAGGGAGGTAGGGGGGGAGGGAGCTCAAAGAAGACGAGCAAATGCCTTACGCCGCCTGCACCCTCTTATAATCTCCCGAGGGAGGGAGGGAGGCATCAGCCGGTTATGACTACCCCGCTCTCTC